CTCACTCAGCAATGCGTGTCCTTGCGTCTCTTTCCCAGCAGCATGTGTCTCTTTCGGAGTGCGTGTCTCTTTCGGCAGCAAGTCTTCCTCAACCAGCAGTCAGAGAGTTCTGCCCCTAGGAAGTCTCCTTTTGAGCCTGGCAGAGTGGTCAAACTAGTCAATCATAGCATCAGAACTCTAAGCACCTGAGAGAGAGTGGGAACCTCCCAGAACACTTTTTTGTGCCACTCTCAACAGAAATACTCCAGGTGGACAACTTCAGCAATCAGGAACTCCTCAGTTGCTCATAGAAAATCCCACTTTGGAGTTTACAAAGACTTATGGGTAGAAAAGCCACACTAAGTAATTTACTACACCACACCAGACAATGTATTGTACTGGACAAATCTGCTGCAAAAGACCTCTTTCAAGTGCTAAAGGGCAAAGATGCCTCCTTGAAGACTAAGGTGAGCCTAACCCAGGTCATGGCTTTGTTTTGTTTTGTTTAAATTTTTACCGTGATTTGAGTGAAAATTTACAAAGCAAATTCACTTTCCATACAGTAGCTCACATACCTGTCTAATGACACTGACTTCAATTTCCCATAATGCAACAACTCCCCTCCCACTCCTTCCCCAGTTACTTCTTCCCGGTGTCCTTCCCTCCCATGCACTCCTGCCCCCCGAGATGTTTCACAGTGCACACACAGCCCTTCTATTCTCCCATGATTGATCTCTCCAAGGAGTGTTATCTCTAAAATGTAAATGTTCAGCTCATACGCCTGTCTTTTGTTTGGCCAGAAGCCACAGAAGTGGGTTCAATTCTAGACCTGAAGGGCAACTAGGGGCCACAGTCTCAGTGGTTCCATCAGACTCTATCAGACCAGCAAACCTGGTCCCCTTTTTTTTTTAAAAACGATTTTGAATTTTGTTCCACATTGTTCTCCCACTCTATCCAGGATCTCCTATATAGATCCCCCTCTGAGTGGTTGACAGTGGTAGCTGGCACCATCTAGTTCTTCTGTTCTCTGTCATATACGCTGAGGATCGCATGGTGTACCAGCTGCTTGGACTAATTATTTCCATGCATCTTTGGTTTTCTTCATTCTTCTTTGCTCTGGACAAGGAAAGACCCATCATTACATCTATATGGCCGCTTACAAGGTTTTAAGATCCCAGTCGCTAGTTGCCAAAGTAGGATTTGGAACATCTTTGTGTAGTATGTTATGCCAATTGAGCTTGATGTCCTCTGCGACTATGGTCCCAAGACCACAGGTCCAGCTACTTGCTCCCTCTGCTAACCCAAGCCATGGTATTTTCAATCTCCTCACATGCATGTGAGAGCTAGACAATGAATAAGGAAGATTGAAGAAAAGCTGATGCTTTTGAGTTGTGTTGGCAAAGAATACTGAAATTACCTTGGACTGCCAAAAGAACAAACAAATCTATCTTGGAAGAAGTACAGCTGGAATGCTCCTTGGAAGCGAGAATGGCCAGACTTCGTGTGACCTACTTTGGTCATGTTGTTAGAAGGGACCTTTCCCTGGAGAAGGATATCATGCTCGGTAAAGTTGGAGGGTCAGCAACAAAGGGGAAGGCCCACAATGAGATGGACTAACACAGTGGCTGCAATGAATGAGCTCAGGTGTAGCAAAGATTGTGAGGCTGGCACAGGACCAGGCAGTGTTTCATTCTGTTGTACCCAGGTGGTATGAGTTTCAGCTGACTTGATGGCACCTAACAACAACAACAACATATATTAAGTTGGCAGACAATTATTTCTACATATGTATTTGTGTGTGCTGTAAGGAATGTCCATATAACTAGAACTAACAGGAGGCAAAATTATGATAACTTCTTAGGCATAGACCACCACCCTGATGGAATGAGTTGTTGGACCTATGGGCTCAGGTCCATGGTCACAGGGGACATCAACCTCAACTGGCATACTACACAAAACATTTTTCTACATCCTACTTTGGTGAATAGTGACTGGAGTCTTCAAAGCCTGCAAATGGCCACCTAGATGCAACAATGGGATTCTCCTTGTTCACAGCAATGAAGAATGAAGAAAACCAAAGATACATGGGGACCACTGGACAATGGGAACCTCAGCCTATATGACTGTGTGACCAGAAGAACTAGATGGTGTCTGGCTACCACTATCAACCATTCAGAAATGGAGAACAGGAGATCCTAGATAGAGTAGGAGAATAATATGGAACAAAACTCAAAATCATAAAAAAAAAAAAAAAAAGATCAGGTTTATTGGTCTGGTGTGACCTCTGAGACTACGGCTTCTAGCTACCCTTCAGGTCTGGAAATGAACTCACTCCCATGGCTTCCAGCCAAACAATAAGACAGGAATATAGGGTGAACATTTACATCAGGCAAAAACACTCCTTAAACAATCAATCATGGGAGATCAGAATTTGCACAGGGAGATAGCTCAGGGGGCAGAAATGCATAGGTAGATGGAACAGGGAAGAGGTAACAACCACAGGGAGGAAGTGGAAGACATCTGTTTACACTGTGGAGAATTGCAGTCAAGGTCATAAAACAAAATGTGCATGAACTTCTGTATGGAAAATGAATGTGCTCTGTAAGCTTTTACCCAAATCACAATAAAACTTAAAAAAAAAAAAACCACCATAATAAAACATGAGGGAAAATTCCAACTGTACAAAAAAGGTATACAATGAGAACCCAATATTTCCCTTATTCTAGACACTCACCATGCCAATGTGATCAATTGTGTTGGTACTTTAAAAGAAACAATTATTTTCTTAACATTAAAGACTGAACTACAGTATTTCAAAGGGCCATTTCAGCTCAAAAATTAAGTACATGCCTTTAGGATCTTTGGTAGTACTAACTCCACTGAGGGTGCAAAAGATGAGGACAGCCTCACCTGATCTAAAGTTACGGTTAGTAGAGGATAACAGAGATTAATCCAACTGAATGAATTAAAAAAAAAAAGTGTTAGATGTACAGAGCTCCCAAAGTTCAGAGGGCAGGACTGGGGCATTTTAACGATAGAGGGTTTATTCACTGATTGAATAAAGCGGCACAGTAGTTAAAGCTCTAGGCTGCTAACTGCAAGGGTATGGGTCAGTTCTATTCTGTCACATAGACTCACTTGAAGGCCATTTTTTTTTCAGCTAGGGTGTCCACCTCCTTGCCAAACTGTGGTGGCTTATGTTTTTGTGATGCTAGAAGCTATACAAGGAGCTCTGGTAGCATAGTGGCTAAGACACTTGCCTGCTAACCAGAAGGCTGGCGGTTCAAACCCACCAGCCACTCCTCGGAAGGAAGGTTGGGCAATCCTACTTCCGTAGTGATACTGCCTCGGAAACCCAAGGAGGGGTCACTATGAGTCAGGTGTGACTCGACGGTACACAACAACAACAACAGAAGCTATACAAACCAACCAAACAAACAAAAAAAAAAAAAAAAATTCATTGCCATTGAGTTGATTTGGACTCATAGTGACACTCACTGAGTTTCCAAGGATGTAAATCCTTACAGAAACACATCGCCCCATCTTTCTTCCACACAGCAGTTGTTGGGTTCAAATCACAGACCTTTTGGTTAGCAGGCAAATGCCTTAACCACTACACCACCAGAGCTCCTTTAGAAGCCATACAACCAGTATTTAAAATACCAACAGGGTCACTCATGGTGGACAGGTTTCAGCGCTCCTTCCAAACCAACTCAGACTACGAAGAAAGGCTTGGCGATCTACTCCTGAAAATTAGCCAATACAAAATCCACGGATCACAACAAAATATTTCCCCATTTAGTGCTGGAAGATGAGCACTTCCTCCTAGGTTGGAAACCAATACAAGCAAACAAAACAACCCCCCAGTGGCATCTAGTCGATTCGATTCATAGCGACTCCACAGGACAGACTAAGACCGCCCTGTAGGGTTTTCAACGGTGTAATCTTCATGGGAGCAGACTGCCACATCTTTCTCCCGCGGATTGGCTGGTGGGTTCTAACCTCCTAGACCTTTTCGGTAGCAGCCAAGCACTTAACCACTGTGCCATGTACTTAAAAAACATCAGTGGCTGCACAATGGCTTCAAGCATAACAAGGATTGTGATGATGGCACAGGTCTAAATAAATGCTTCATTCTGTTGTGCATGGCATTGCTTTAAAATTAACTCCATGTCAGAGTCCCCTGGACGGCAAATAACAACTAGGATGGACGCTCCATGACAGCAGGGACTTCAGCAAGAGTTCTCTCTGGCACAAAAGGAGCTCCAGCACTGAGGCCTGAGGCGTGGCCCAGCCTGCTCAGTGAGGGACATCTTCCCTCTACTCGCACCGCCCCCAGTCTTCCAGTCCACCACATCACGTGACTCGCGCTCCCCTCCAGGCCCTCTCCAACCCACCGCGCCGCCTCCACCGAACCCACGGATCTCCAAGGCAGGTCAAACTTGGCAAGGCCAGGCTAGCAGGGCATTCCTCACAGTTGCGTACCGCCAGGTCCGACTCACTCGTCTCCGACTCTCAGGAGCCGGTCACCTCCCGATTCTCACTGACTATCCATTCCCGATTGCAAGTAGGAGGCGGAAAGAGTAGCCATGGGTGCAAAAACAGGACCCGTAAAGATTAAGGCAGAGCTTCAGAAGTTTGGACCGCGAAGGGGAGGGGAGGAGTCTCCAGAGCGCGCGCATGCGCGCCCCAGTAGCCTCGGCCCGGCTCACGCGGCGCAGCGCGGCGTGGTGACGCCCGCGCACTGAGGAAGGGGCGGGGCCAGGGCCGGGGCGGGCCCCACGCTTCCCCCGCCCCTGCCGCTGGCTCGCCTTCCCCCGCCTTCCTCCACTTTGGGCCCGTCAGCGCGGGCTGTCCTGGTGGTGCGGCGTCGCTTCGGCCCGGCCGGCCCGACCAGCTGGCAGATGCCTCGAGCTGCCGCAGCTTCTGACTGGGCTGGTGGCGGTGTGGGAGGCGGGCGTCCGGCCCGGGCCCGCTGAGTGTGGCGGACGGGGCCGGGGCGTCGCAGCTCCGTGCGGACCATGTATTTCCTGAGCGGCTGGCCCAAGCGGCTGCTTTGCCCGCCGGGGCGCTCGGCTGAGGCGCCGCTTCAAGTCCAGGCCGACCCTCACAGGGCTTTCTTCGCTGTGCTGGCTCCGGCTCGTCTCAGCATCTGGTACAGCCGAGTAAGTCGAGCCGCTGCCGCCGCAGCTCCCCGCCGGCGCCCTGGCCCGTCCCACCCCAACTTCTACCCGAGCTCAGACCCTGTGTCTCGCGCGGACCGCCGCCTTCCCGGCCTCGCGCCTCAGCCTCCGTCGCGTGTGTCCGGCCGGGCAGATTCTTCGATGGGCGCAGTCGTTCTGCCGACATCCGTGTCTCAGTGCCGGCTGGCGGGCTCCGGGCACCCCCCGCACCTCTCACCAGCCCAGACATACCTCCTCTTCCTGCCCTGTCCCTAGGGAACAAATCTGGGTAAACTTTCCGCAGTTAGAAATTGACGGCCGGGGTGCCTCTGCTTTGCTGTAGGGGTCGCCGACGGGGAGTTAGGGAAAGCCTGCTGAGCTTCACCCAGTGCCAGATTTGACGGGCCTGTAATAACTTATTCTAGAAAGTACAGTCAGAGTTCTTTGTGTTTCAGGAAAGGTCTGGTTATACGGCTTTCGCCCTCCCCCATCCCAAAAAATTGTTCACCCATTTTGAGATTAGCGCCTTTTTCCGCTGTTTTGGGACTCAGCAGAGAATTAAGTGGGGGGGGGGGATTGGTGGCAAGGGGCGGAAGTAAAAAGCAGATCTGTCCTCGCGACTCCCTGCTATTTTCACCTGGAAATAATAAGACTTGGGAACAGCATGTATAGGAAACTGAACTCTTGTGTTTAGCTCTCTGTGCGTCCCGGTTATCTTTTTTCTTTCTTGTGTCTAATTACCGAGTAGATTAGAGAAATAACTTGAGAACTAAGTGGTGGATGGGATATGTTCTACTCTGCAAATGCTATTGCAGGTCTGTCTGTAAAAGCCACAGAAGTCAGAATATAAAAATGTTATTTTTCTTTTTTCAAAGAAGGCAGTGCTAATCGATGTCAGAGTGAAGTTTTTTTTCTTGTTTCATAGCTAACATGGAAGTTTTTTTCCCTCTTGTTTTCATACCTAACTTAATTATGTGCTGATAGGTTCTGACTTTGGCCTCCTTAGAACTATGTGAAATACTGGTTTTAGTTAAATTAGAACATTCAAAACTGTATGTTACCACTGTAATGCCTATGATGTCCTTGACTGTCCTCACATACAGCCTTGTTAAAAGTGATGATGGGAGTTATGTAAATCCAGTAGCTCTTTTAAGTGACTATAATATTTGGGCTGTAAATCCAATTATTTGCCATTGGGTTTTGGAAGGTCTAATTTAAAACAGACAGTTATAAAATTGTCATTACCAGCAACATGACCATTTTGTGTGCTGCTTGATTGCATTTTTGTCATGTGTATATTGTATATCACCCCTGTCTTAAATAAGGTACTAACTCATTTACATTGTTGCATACCCACTGAATAATTTTTAATTTGTTCAGTTGTATGTAATTATTTTCTTTCAGGCATACATAAAAAATATATTTAGAGTTTGAGTTTTAAATTGTCTTTTGAATTTAAATAACGTCATTATGATGTAACAAATTATATTTGTAAAGCCTAAAATTTAACTTTTTTTTCTTTATAAAGTAGCAGAAGTCCCTGGGTGGTGCAAATGATTAAATGACTGGTAGCTGATAGGTGGGTGAATAGCCTACCTAGAGGACCTGGGAAGACAGAAAGATCACAGCCTTGAAACACTATGGAGTGTAGTACTATTCTGACACACATGGGGGTTCCCATGAGTTGGAATTGCTTGATAACGACAGAATAGGTAAACTAACAACATAATAAAGCTGTATGAGGGATGACTAGAGTAGAAGCCTATAGATCACTTTGTTCCCCTGGAAAAGAAACATAAAAATGAGCCTTAACTTTCTTAGAGACATTATGAATATTCTTAAGAATATATGTATTGTTTAGTTTTAGAGTTAAATACTGTCATAGTTATTTAGTGCTGTTATACAGAAATACCACAAGTGGATGGCTTTAACAAATTTATTTTCTTGCATTATAGCAGACTGGAAGCCCAAATTCAGGTGCCTGCTCTAGGGGAGGGAGCTCTAGTAGCGCAGTGCTTAAGGCATTTGACTTCTAACCAGAAGGCTGGCAGTTTACACCCACCAGCCTCACCTTGGCAGGAAGGTTGGGCAATCTACTTCCATAGTGATACTGCCTTGGAAACCCTATGAGGGGCCGCTATAAGTCGAGTCAGACTCAGACAGCATGTAACAACAACAGCAGTGCAAAAAAGAAAATCAAACCAAACCAAACTCACTGCTGTGGAGTCCGATCCTGGTTAGCAGTCTTAGGACTAGGGGAAGGTTTTTCATCTCTTTGAGCTTCTGCTTCTGGGAAATCTTCATGTGGCTTGGAATCTCTTTTCCCCCATCTCTGCTTCTTAGTTTGCTTGTTTATTCTCCTTTATATATTAGAAGGGGAGCTCTGGTGTCATAGTGCCTAAAGCATTTGACTGCTAACCAGAAGGCTGGTGGTTCAAACCCACCAGCCACTCCTCAGAAGGAAGGTTGGGCAATGTATTTCTGTAGTGATAGTGCCTCAGAAACCCAAGGAGGGGTCCCTATGAGTTGGATCTGACTCCACCAGCTGTGGGTTTTTTATATATCAAAAGAGATTTAGTCAAGACACACCTTATACTAATCCCATCTCATTAACATAACAAAGAAACTATTCCCAAATGGGATTATACGCACAGATTTAGAGGTTAGGATTTACAGTACATATTTGGGGGGGGAGGGGCAAAATTCAATCCAGAACATTATCCCTTTTGGTCCCCCAAAATTCATGTCCTTCCCACATGCAAAGCACATTGACCCCATTACATCATCTCTAAGTCTTAAATAACTCCCAAATCCACAATCTCATTTTCTGAATCATCTAAATCAAATATGAATGAGACTTTAGGCATATTCCATCCTGGGTCAAAATTCCTCTTCACTGTGAACCTGTGAAATCTAGAATATAAATTGCCTACATCTCAAGTACAATGATGGAACAAGCACAAGGTAGACATGTCCATTACAGATGGTAGAAAATAGAGGGAAAGAGGGGATAACAAACACCAAGCAAGTTCAAAACCCAGCAAAATACATTACATTAGCACAAATCTTGAAAATAATCTTCTGTTCTCTAAGACCATCCGGGCAATTACCATGTCCCCCAGACTCTGTTGTTGTTGTCATGTGCCGTTGAGTTGGACCTGACTCATAGTGACCCTTCCTTGGGTTTCAGAGGTGGATCACTATAGAAGTAGATTGCCTAACCTTCCTTACAAAAAGTGGCTGATGGGTTTGAACCGCCAACCTTCTGGTTAGCAGTCAGGTGCCTTAGGCACTATACTACAAGAGTGTTGACTATATCCTTTGACTTCTGGATAGAAACCCTTGGGCCCTGGGCTTCAGCTTAGCCATTTAGGCCCTTTGGGATGACAACTCTGCTCCCTTAGTTTTTGGCTGCCCCATTTTCCTAGTCCATCTGAGTGGTGACCTTGGTTACATTCTTCTGACCCTTGGGCGTGACAGTGCTACCCCCTCAGCTTTGGGCAGTGGCTCCATCCCCTGGCACACCTTATAGTAGTCTCACACTCCGGAACCAATCCAACTCTGATATTTAGGAGGCTGTGGCCTCACCCTTTGAAATCACGAAGGCCCTGCTTCCCATTCTCCTTCCAACAGTTCTGCTTATCTCTGAGCTGCTGCAGGGGTGGTACTTTTCTTGGAGGACAATAGATGTAGCTCCTTTGGCTTGTTTCCTGCCTATAAAATTCCAAGAGGCAGACCATGTTCTTCTTTCTTTGTCCCCTCAGTCTAAGCTGATGGGTTTATTGCTGTGGTAGTTGGTTAGATCCATCAATTAGAGGCTTAATCTCTTAAACAATTATGTAGCCACATCTTTGTTGAACATTCTAGGACACATGTCTTTAGTTTATACAATCGAAATTTTCCAAATCTTTGAGTACTGTTTTAGTTTTCACAGTTCATTTTTAAGTTCATCTGTTTCTTCACACATTTTAATATAAGTGACAAGGAGATACCATGCAGCCCCTGTAAGATCTTGCTTAGAAGTCACCTCAGCCAGAAAACCAGGTTCATCACTTAAAAGTTACACCTTCCACCAAACATTTGAACATAATTCAGACAAGTTCTTTGCCACTGCATAAAAAGTGTCACTTTTCTTCCACTGTCCAATCACATGTTCATCCTTTTATTTTAAAGCCTTACCAGAAGCGCATGTAACTTCCATATTTCTAGCAACATTCTGTTGCTGGTGCCATGTGTATTCTTTAATGGGATAGAGACTTTCTGTATAGCTCTCCTCACTTCTTCCTGAGGTCTCACCAGAATTGCTTTGTTGTTATGTGCCGTCAGGTCGGACCCGACTCATAGCGACCCCTCCTTGGGTTTCCAAGGCAGTATCGCTATGGAAGTAGATTGCCCCATCTTCCTTCTGAGGAGTGGCTGGTGGATTTGAACCGCCATCCTTCTGGTGAGCAGTCAAGTGCTTTAGGCACTATGCTACCAGAGCTCCAGAATTGCTTTGGTCATCCATATTTCTACCATCAGTCTCTTCAAGGCAATCTGTTGTTGTTGTTACACACTGCCGTCAAGTCAAACCCAACTCACAGTGACCCAACCCCCCCTTGGGTTGCCGAGGCAGTATCACTTTGGAAGTAGATTGCTCAGCCTTCCTTCCGAGGAGTGGCTGGTGGGTTTGAACTGCCAGCCTTCTGGTTAGCAGTCAAATGCCTTAGGCACTAAGCCACCAGAGCTCCTTCAACGCAATCTAGGCGTACTATAGCTGTTGTTGTTGTTATGGTGCCATCAAATCAGCTCTGATTCATAGTTACCCTTTGTACAACGAAACAGTGCCCAGTCCTGCACCATCCTCAGAGTCTTTGCTATGGTTGAGCCCATTGTCACAGCTACTGTGAATGTTTTTACTATCAGGCATCTTAAAACTCTTCTAAGCCTCCTCCTCCTGTTACCCCATTCCAAAACCACTTCCACATTCTAGGTATTTGTTAGAGCAGCACCCCATTCTTCTG